TTGTCGGATTTAAGGTACCACAGTTTAAATGGACTTCGTATTCGCTCACTTACATTTTGCCAAGACCGCGCAAGTCGCCCCGTTTACTCCACATACAAACGGTGGGTGCACGCACGCACACACACACACACACACACACACACTACATACAACAATAAACATTAACAATTATACATGACATAACACACAGCACATTTATAATCACACAAGCGATTACTGAGAACTACTCACAAGATGGCCGCGCTGCTGGCCGGTACCTCCGCACCACAGTATTTATTTATTTATAAACTTTGCCCAAATTCTGTCCTGGGTTTTACCTAATTAATCAAAAAAAAAAAAATCACAATAACACTTAAAGGTAATGAAAATTAATTCAGTTTTAGCAATTTGATGATGCATCCACCTTAATTATTAAGAAGTATCGATATCGTATCGGCGATACTTTCCCTGTATTTACTTGGTATCGCATCGATACCAAATCTTGTAGTATCGCTCACCACTAGTGTAGAGTAGGTGAGATGAACTGGGAAAGCAGGCAGTGGGCCAAACCACTGTGAGGAAGGGGTGGGGGAACTCAACTGTTTCTAAATGCATTTTTTGCGTTTGTTTTTTTTTCTACTTACACAATTATTTTAGTTATACATACAAATATTTTTCACAATAGAGAGTGCAATTTTATTTTTATTTTATTTATTTTTTCCGCCCCGGGATTTACACCCATAGCTGGGACTTAAATACAGAGCAAGATTAACAAGGGGCAGGTGAGATTAATCAACAAGGTTAGGAAAACAGGTCACAGGTGAAACTAATTAACTCAAAGGAACTAAACAGGGAAACTAAGAACTAACCAAGAAACAGGGAAAACAGACTAACACTGGGAATAACAAAAACTGATAAAACATAACTAAGGCTCAAAACAAGGAACCAAAACAGAATATAAAAAAATCACCAGACACAGGAACAATTCATACAAATGAAACACTAGGGAACAAAATACAAAAACAGAGGGGGCGGGATTCGGGCACTATAGACAGAGAGGTTCACAGGCAACCGCAAAGACTGAGAACACGAGGGACAGGATGACCAGCAACACCTGCTGGCCAAACAGGGAAGGGACACAGAGTGGGACAACATTAGCTGGCCCTGACACTCTCCTATTAAACAGTGTCCCTTAAAATTAAGTATAGAAGTTTTTATGCTGTGCAGGTTTTCTGAAGCACATAAAAAATGGTGAAAAGTTCCAAGTAACAACATCATGATGTACAGGGTCCAGTTTAGAATAAACAGGATGACATGAAGGATGCTGTATTGATCTTCACAGCTGACTTTATCCTTTTGACTATAGATACAACATAATGGTCCTTCCCAGGGTGCTGCTCTGTAGATGAACATCTGCTTATACTGTATGCATGTGCAGCTGATACTGTATTCTGAGGACCGCTAACACAGCTAACTTGTTGATCCAACAGGACCTAGGAAACTTTGGACTGTAGGTAAAAAATATTAAAATCTAACTCTTTAGATCCTTCAGACTTCTGTGTTCTTCTCTCCCAGTAATACCTCCTCTGGGTCTGGTTGATTGTGATCAGCAGGTGATGATGCCTCCATCTCCTGATTGTCATGTGATCCCTGCAAAGGTGTGTCAGTTGATACATTTTATGTTATTTTTTTGTTCAGCAAGTAATATAGTCACAATGTAATGGACTAATTTTAATGTGACCAAATATTNTCCGAGTGATGCTGCTTGCGATAACATACTACAATAGGCGTCCTTGCGCAATGCCTCCCTGTTCCCCCCTAAAGGCAATACAGTGTGCTGTATACCGACCCCCCACCCTATCTCCCGAAACCAAGATAAGCATCCTGCATGCCGATCTAAAGGCCCAGATGAGCATCCTGGCTTCTCTTTATGAGCCCAAGTTATTTATGGCAAAATTAGGTTTTACAGCGGATCGGTAAATAACATGTTCGTGCAGTTTAGTAACATTCGGGGTGAATCATGGACGATTGATCTGAATTTCAGGACGATCAGTCCACACGCGATCGGAATTAATCCACAATTACAACTTTCCAGAATATTATAGTAAAGTTAATTCCATGTCACGTGGGTGACGTAATCGTCCACGAATTCATCCTAATACAGTCAGTAAGACGTCTGTCTTTGTAATTCCTGGTAACTTTCTCCAGTGTACAGTTATGGAATTTGGACTTAAAAATGTACCAGCTATACATTTTAAAGATTAGTGAACACTGTATTAGCTAATGTTCCGAATTGTTGGGCATATTTGAGTGACTTAGAGTCCACAGATCATTTATTTCTTTTAATATATTTTTAAATTCTGATTTTACAGTTGTTACACAGGAATGCTGCACTCGGATTATAAGTGAAACGGCAGTTACTAGGTTTGCTAATTCATTTAGCAATACCATGGTTATCAGTAATTGTAACGTAGACATGATGGTTCAGTGTTTTAACAATCATTGTAGCAATTTGTTTGCAAAGTTGCCGCTTTTAAAATTAGACATAGATCGGTTATTAATACATCTCCCTGGTTAAATGATGGTTAGACACCATTGTAGGAAGACTGAGCAGTTATGGAAAGCCAATAAATTGGAGGTTCACCATTTAAGGTATAAACAATGAACCTCCAATTTATTGGCTTTCCATAACAGCAAACCTAGTAACTGCGGTTTCACTTATAATCCAAGTGCAACCCTCCATCCCCCTCGGGATTTACACCCATGGCTGGGACTTAAATACAGAGCAAGTCTAACAAGGGGCAGGTGAGATTAATCAACAAGGTTGGGAAAACAAGTCACAGGTGAACCTAATTAACTCAAAGGAACTAAACAGGCAAACTAAGAACTAACCAAGAAACAGGGAAACAGACTCTAACACTGGGAATAACAAAAACAGATAAAACATAACTAAAGCTCAAAACAAGGAACCTAAACAGAATATAAAAAAATCACCAGACACAGGAACAATTCATACAAATGAAACACTAGGGAACAAAATACAAAAACAGAAGGGGTAGGATTCGAACATGCGACAGAGGGATTCACAGGCAACCGCAAAGACTGAGAACACGAGGGACAGGATGACCAGCAACACCTGCTGGCCAAACAGGGAAGGGACACAGAGTGGGACAACATTAGCTGACCCTGACAATCTCCTATTAAACGGTGTCTCTTAAAATTAAGTATAGAAGTTTTTATGCTGTACAGGTTTTCTGAAGCACATAAAAAATGGTGAAAAGTACCAAGTAACAACAGCATGATGTACAGGGTCCAGTTTAGAAGAAACAGGATGACATGAAGGATCCTGTATTGATTTTCACAGCTGACTTAATCCTTTTGACTATAGATACAACATAATGGTCCTTCCCAGGGTGCTGCTCTGTAGATGAACATCTGCTTATACTGTATGCATGTGCAGCTGATATTCTGAGGACCGCTGACACGGCTAACTTGTTGATCCAACAGGACCTAGGAAACTTTGGACTGTAGGTAAAAAATATTCAAATTGAACTCTTTAGATCCTTCAGCCTTCTGTGTTCTTCTCCCCCAGTAATACCTCCTCTGGGTCTGGTTCATTGTGATCAGCAGGTGATGATGCCTCCATCTCCTGATTGTCATGTGATCCCTGCAAAGGTGTGTCAGTTGATACATTTTATACTCTTTTTTTGTTCAGCAAGTAATATAATCACAATGTAATGGACTAATTTTAATGTGACCAAATATTTAAAAAAGGTTAACATCCCAAAAATTATAGTATGACTGAAATACTCAAACACTCATGCACACAGACTTTCATTAAGAAGCTAACTTCCTTACTACTTTGAATACACTGTAAAAACGGACAGGTAATTGTGTCCTTGGACACAAAGTGGAGTAAATGACTGGAATCCTGAGAATCACAGAGTTCTTGTTCCTCTGTTTACCTCCTCTGTGTTTGGTCCATTGGGATCAGGGGGGGGACAATGCAACAGTCTCCTCATTGTCATGTGATCCCTACAGAAGTGACAACATTAGTCCATATTACTGGGTTTCACCAAACACAGCGCAGTGACCATCAATTGAAATTTGCCTTTCAGTTTACATTATATTAGTTTTATGTAACCAAACATTAATGAAATATTGGAAATACCAACAATCTACAACCTAAGAACTACAGCACCTACTTATGAATTCAGACTTTTCAAATATTCACAGTGCATAACAAGTGCCTCATTTATCAAACTTTGTGTAAATTTGATCATGAAAAAATGTGTATGCACAGAAGAGAAAATATGCAGAAAAAATATCAGACTTGGTGTTTGCACGTTTCCCCTCAGAAATGTCAGAACTGCCAAATGGACAGATGCTCCAATCCCTTATATAAAATGGTGTAGTATTTGCATATAACCTACATAGATCTTCCCGCATACATTAAATAATCTCTAGATTACTGATCCTGCATTGTACAATGTGAATGATATGTGAATAATTGTTATACTGTATTGTTTAGGGAACAATGATGAGAAAATGTACTGTACATGTTCAGTAGAGAAATACATAGAATAAACCACAGATTCAAAAATATAAATACATGTAGAAAATATAAATCTGTCTACATGTCACTTCATTCATGTGGATTCAGTGTAGCTTATGGCGTGTGCCAAATTCAAATTTCTTTTTTGGAATTTTTTTTTCCTCTATTATTTTCAAACCACAGTCGGTTGAATCTGCAGAACCAGTGGATATGGAAGGCTGACCGTATCTTGTAAATGTGCATACAGTACCAGTCAAAAGTTTGGACAAACCAAGCCGTCTACAAACGAGAGTGATAGTGTCACATCACATGACCTGAACACCTGACCTAAACACAGCAGAGATGGTTTTGGAGGAGTTTGACCAGAGAGTGAAGGAAAAGCAGCCAATCAGTGCTCAGCATATATGTGGGACCTCCTTCAGGAGAGCTGGAAAAGCATCCCAGGAGGCCACCTCATGAACCTGGCATAGAGGAGACAGTAGGGTCAGCCAGTCCCTGGAGCAGTTGGGGTTAAGGGCCCTGCTCATGGGCCCAATAGTGGGATTGCTCTGCTGACCACAGGATTTGAACTGGCAACCTCCTGAGTTCCAACCCACAGAGCTCCCACTCCGGCCCCAATAAATACATTTTCTGTTTAATACTTTTTGGTTCAATGGATAATTCTTTATATGTTATTTTATAGTTTTGATGTCTTTATAATCATTCTAACATGTAGGGAATAGTAGAAATAAATCTTTCTTTAGTAAGTGTGTCCAAACTTTTGATTGGTACTGCAAGAGCATGAGCCTGAGGTCCTGCTCAGTTGCTGCCTACAACCAACCATAAATGGTCAGTGCAAATTAACTGTATGCTCATGTAATATGCAAATCAGGCCTTTCTGGTTGTAAAGTGTGATGACAGAAACCATCCATCCATCTTTTAATCCTGCCTGTACCTACTTGTCCCAAGAAGAGGAATTTGGAGCACTTGATAGAGGCACCACTAAATATTATATTTTGAGGCCAAAGCCCAAGTATACTGTAACTAATGAAAAAGTGCGTTGAGTGGCAACACATCGCTGCTGCAGTATATTCCCTCAGCTGTACCGAACACAAATTACCCAAAATAAAAACATAAATGGTCAGATCTGAAGATTCCAGGGAAAAAATTACTTGTGCGCACCAGGCCAGTGTGACTGTAACTACCACGGGCAAACCCAAATCATGAAAAAATGTGTATGCACAAAAGAGAAAATATGCAGAAAAAATATCAGACTCTGTGTTTGCCCCTCTGAAACTTCAACACGTGTTTGACATCTACAGTATAATAGGGGGTAGCATGGGTGCTATGCCAAAAGACAGAAGACACTGATATGGCATGTGAGGTTCAAAATGAACCAATCAGAAGTTGACCCAGACTATCGACCTACTATATTTGTCATATTTACTATATTTCGGGGCGGCATGGTGGGGCAGTGGTTAGCACTGTTGCCTCACACCTCTGGGACCTGGGTTCAAGTCTCCGCCTGGGTTGCATGAGTGTGGAGTTTGCATGTTCTCCCCGTGTCGTCGTGGGGTTTCCTCCAGGCACTCTGGTTTCCCCCCACAGTCCAAAGACATGCTGAGGCTAATAGGAGTTCCTAAATTGCCCGTAGGTGTGTTTGTGTGAGTGACTGGTGTATGAGTGTGCCCTGCAATGGGCTGGCCCCCTGTCCAGGGTTGTTCCCTGCCTCATGCCCATTGGTTCCAGGATAGGCTCCAGACCCCCCACAACTCAGTCGGATAAGCAGGTAAGAAAATGGATGGATGTTGGGTTTCCCAGATGGCTAAAATGAAACAGCTGTCTCTTGACAAAAATAGCTTCATTCACACTCATTTCATTGTCTGCATCTACTGCCATATGCTGTACTGCTGTGCATTTCATGTTTAAACTTTAATTTGTTTTGAGGTGACCTTAACCACAATATCAGTGCTGTCGATTTCCCAGATTACATTTGGAAAACCAGACATCAATATAAATGTAGTTCTTGAGTTTGCCTGGTCATCCACAGTGTAGAGAAACATGCATTTGATGAAAGACAGACGGAGTGTAAAGACATCAGGCATAATGCAAACAGCAAACATGGTGGCCCATGGAAACTTGTAATCCTTCCATTTCTGTAGCTATTAAGCCGTATCACATACTCATGACTGTAGGCTATGGTTGGCAAGAAGCCAGTTTCTTTCTTCAGAATCACACTGTTAGGAAATGACAGGCATCATCATCTAAAGACACAGGGCGCCTCCATAACAGTAACCCTGACAATCACAAACCTCCTTTGTGTTCAGTCTTTCTGGATCAGCAGGTGATGATGCCTCAGTCTCTCCATGTGATCTCTACAAAATAATAGTGTCAGATGATAAATTTCAGATACATTTCATATTTTCATCTTCTACTAAATACCAAGTAGTCACCATGAAGTGGTACATACTTTTCATTTTACAGTAAAATCTGCAGGTCACCATTGGCTACTTTATTCTTCCAGAAAACCCAGCATGCAGTGTATCAAACAGTAAAGTACAAACAGTTGAAGTACAAATTAAACCTCATATATAAACTACCTTCCATTATGGTACCATATTATTACCCAAACCCTGGGCTGGTTAAACAGCAGTATAGTTGTATTAAGTCAATATACACCAATGTGTCAAAACATTGGACCGCCCCCACAAAAGCAAATAACATCTGCTTTTAGAAATCTTATAAAAATGGTTTGTATCATGGTCTGGGATATATTAGGCAGAAAGCTACATTCAGTATTCATAGGCAGCATTTTGGATGCAGGAGAAATGGGCAGGAGTAAAGATCTGAGTGACTCTGACAAGGGCCAGATCATTACGGCCAGACGACTGGATCAGAGCATCTCTGATACAGCAAGGCTTGTGGGGAGCTCATGGCCAGCCGTGGTGAGAACCTGCTGAGAGTGTGAGGTATGGATAGATCCTGTCAAGGACAAGATGGGCAATTGCCCAGGGTGGCATCTTTTGCGCGGGCAACAACTTTGCAAACTGCCAGAGCCACCTGCAGGTATGGAGTAATTATTATAACAGAATTTGGTGGTTGTGTAAAATAGATTTGTAGTTTTAACATGACTTCTGAAACTATGTGCAAATAAGAAGTTGCAAGCCTGTGACTTAGGAAACACAAGTGAAAAACTTTTTTGTGAACACTTTGCTGCACGAGTGTACAATGCTAAAATATAAGTGCGCAAATCTTTGCACAGGTGTACAATACTAAAATACAAGTGTGCAAATCTCTGCACGGGTGTACAAAAGTCAATTACAAGTGTGCAAATGTATTTTACAAAACCATGGAATTCTGTCATTATAGTCACTCCATACCCAGAAAGCAAAAATGGCCACTAGTGAAATAGCTAAGAGTTAAAAATACTGTAGGTGTAATTTTGTATGGAATGCAGGTTGCTAGTGCTAATGCTAATACTAGTGGAGCACAGATTGGCACATCTTCAGACAAGCTGCCACCTACTGCAGCTCAGCAGACCTGGAGTACACAGCTTAAGTGACTGGCTACATCAGCAAATGCATTGAGGATGTTACTGTCTCCAAAACTATCATCACACATGCAAACCATAAACCCTGGTTCTCCGCAGAGCTGCACACTCTGGAGAGAGTCAGAGATACTGCCTACAGATTCATAGACAGAGAGTCTCATACTACAGACAGAGCCAAACATTCTTGGCCATTAAAGAGGCAAAAAGTGCCTTTGCAGGGAAAATCAACAGCCACTTCATGGTCTCAGAGGACACACAGTGCATGTGGCAGGGAATGCAATCTATCACTGGCAACTAACCAACACCTCACACCTGCAGCAGTGAGGTCACCCTGCCAGATGCATTGAACAACTTCTATGTACATTATGAGGCACAGAGCAGGGAGCTATGCAGAGTCGACCCGCGGAAGGCGGCTGGACCTGACAACATACCCGACCAGGTGCTCAGAGACTGTGCTNACCACAGGATTTGAACTGGCAACCTCCTGAGTTCCAACCCACAGAGCTCCCACTCCGGCCCCAATAAATACATTTTCTGTTTAATACTTTTTGGTTCAATGGATAATTCTTTATATGTTATTTTATAGTTTTGATGTCTTTATAATCATTCTAACATGTAGGAAATAAACCTTTCTTTAGTAGGTGTGTCCAAACTTTTGATTGGTACTGCAAGAGCATGAGCCTGAGGTCTTGCCCAGTTGCTGCCTACAACCAGCCATAAATGGTCAGTGCAAATTAACTGTATGCTCATGTAATATGCAAATCAGGCCTTTCTGGTTGTAAAGTGTGATGACAGAAACCATCCATCCATCCATCTTTTAATCCTGCCTGTACCTGCTTGTCCCAAGAAGAGGATTTTGGAGCACTTGATAGAGGCACCACAAAATATTATATTTTGAGGCCAAAGCCCAAGTATAACTAATGAAAAAGTGCGTTGAGTGGCAACACATCACTGCTGCAGTATATTCCCTCAGCTGTACTGAACACAAATTACCCAAAATAAAAACATAAATGGTCAGATCTGAAGATTCCAGGGAAAAAATTACTTGTGCGCACCAGGCCAGTGTGACTGTAACTACCACGGGCAAACCCAAATCATGAAAAAATGTGTACGCACAAAAGAGAAAATATGCAGAAAAAAAATATCAGACTCTGTGTTTGCCCCTCTGAAACTTCAACACGTGTTTGACATCTATAATAGGGGGTAGCATGGGTGCTATGCCAAAAGACAGAAGACACTGATGTGGCATGTGAAGTTCAAAATGAACCAATCAGAAGTTGACCCAGACTATCGACCTACTATATTTGTCAATATCATGTTGGGTTTCCCAGATGGCTAAAATGAAACAGCTGTCTCTTGACAAAAATAGCTTCATTCTACTGCCATATGCTGTACTGCTGTGCATTTCATGTTTAAACTTTAATTTGTTTTGAGGTGACCTTAACCACAATATCAGTGCCATCGATTTCCCAGATTACATTTGGAAAACCAGACATCAATATAAATGTAGTTCTTGAGTTTGCCTGGTCATCCACAGTGTAGGGAAACATGCATTTGATGAAAAACAGACATCAGGCATAATGCGAACAGCAAACATGGTGGCCCATGGAAACTTCTAATCCTTCCATTTCTCTAGCCATTAAGCCGTATCACATACTCATGACTGTAGGCTATGGTTGGCAAGAAGCCAGTTTCTTTCTTCAGAATCACACTGTTAGGAAATGACAGGCATCATCATCTAAAGACACAGGGCGCCTCCATAACAGTAACCCTGA